CGACGAACTCCTTCAGCGGGGGCAGCCTCTGATGGAGCGCAGCGGTCGTTGTAGATTCCCGCGGGCAGATGTCACCCCCACTCGGCTGTGCGTCGGTGCGAGCGGCCGATGGGATCGCCTGTCGCGGTTGTGATGACGTCGCAACTTCAGCGACGGCGATGTCGGAGTGGATGTGTAGGCTGGCCACGCCCCGAACAGCTGCAGCGTCGATGGCGGGAGTTTCAAACTCGGACTGCTCCGAAATGGCGGGAAGGCGCCCTGGCCGTTGGCCCGCCTCGCCCCGTGATGGATCACCGGCCCCCAACCGCGTGATGGTCTCCAGCGTGGCGGCAGCGGCATACAGCAGCTCTGCCAGCCTCCCGTGAGCCAGCCGCAACGCGTCTGGCTGTGGTCCTTCTTCACTCAGATGCCCCGGTAAGGAGGCATCAGGCCCCGGCTGCACCATGTCTTGTGTAGCCGTCTCGGGCTCGACGATCTCGGCAGTATCTCCTCCTGCGGTACTTTGGCCCGCGCTGTCTTCCGCGTGTCCATGTTCGAATTACTTCTGACACCAGTTGAAGTACCGATGAAGACACTTGACGCCGAGGTTGAGGCACACGTATATTTATTTAACACAACTCGTTCGTGGCATACAGCACTGGAGGGGGTATCGGCCCCCTCACCCGACTAGCTAAGGATACACTTCCTAGCTAATCCTAGCCTGCCTCTTAGTCCTCCACTAATGGGCTAGGGGAGGCTGTCTGGCCCGACACTGGTAAGTCGGGCCCGGTACCCGGAGTCCCAGACCAGCTCTTACAAGAGCACCGGCTCTGGCTCTCGGGACCACGCCGCTGGCTCAGTCCTGTTCGGCCCTGATAAGGACATCGAACGAGGGGAGTCCAGGGCTCTGTCTAAGACGTCTTCAGTCTTCTCTGGTTAGCTTTTAACATAACTGACTCGAGCCCTTATAACATCCCCTTTTATACCCAACCCCTCCTTGAGGGGTGGGGCCCCGGGGGATCATAACGCCGAACCAGCCCCCCCCAGGGTGTCTGGCTCGGACGTCGCAGAGGGCATCTCCCCGTGCACACACGTAGCCCCGCCCACTGTGTTTGTTTCCCATAGACTGCCATGCATAACGGGCCCTCTCTTTAACACCCCTACACAAGGATAACCAGCTCATCACTGGTAGTGATTGATGAAATCCGATCAACGATGCTTGTGATGGTGTGAGCAGCCCGAGAGAAAATGTTCGCATGTTTTAAAAGGGGCTGACGAACGTGCAGTGGCAAGGAAACGTTTCGTTTGCATAGAAAGAGGAACTCGTGGATTGGAGAGCACATGCAGGTCAAAGACACGATTGAAAACGGATAGGATTAAAGTAAGTGGGCTTCGGCAGGACACATCGCTGGAAGGGATTATGGACGTGTTCTCAAGAATTGGAGTGGCAATTCTAGATTTGAAGCTTTCGTGACTGCAAGGATTCATATTCTTGGGTGTTTTCGGTAAAGTCACGTAGGTAAAAATTTTTAATTAATAAAAGTAAAAAAAAATCACGACGTTTCAGAGGCAACACAAGCTTCCGTCTTCAGGTGGAACCGTCACTGTGACTGTTCCACCTGAAGACGGAAGCTTGTGTTGCCTCCGAAACGTAGTGATTTTTATTTTATTTTACTTTTATTAATTTAAATTTTTTTACCTACGTGACTTTACCGAAAAAACCCAAGAATTGGAGTGGCAGCCAAGGAATGAAACGCGTCCCAGACGACGTCCTCCATTGAGATGGAGCGATGACGTCGGCTTGCTTTTGCAGGTGCTAGGTAGATCCAGAATAGAAATCTGTATTTAGACTGGAGGGATCCAATGAGATGTTAAGGGTGGTAGCAGGTTACAATTGTTGCATCACAGAACTGTAAACGATGAAGACCCTGAGTGGAGGCCCATCATCGTGGCTGGTGATGAAAGACTGCAGAGTTGGGAAGGGCGAGGCCTTCATATAATAGTCCAGGGTGTTCGCATCTTCTTGTTGCTCCCATCTTATGACACGTGATCGCGGCATGGATTACACCGATGCAGACCCCGTAATATTTATTCTAAAGTAGATGCCCCTGCATTAACACACTTGTTTGTTGAAAACGATTGGATGTATTGACATTTACAATGAATGGATTTTCTCAGAAAACACTGGACCCTTATAACCGGGTGTCCATTCGTTTCTTTATATTCAATAAATGTATATCATTGCCGTGAACTGAGAGCCTGTGCCATTCACGTCCAGAGCAGGTCCGAATGCCTTTTGTGTGAAACAGAGTTGTCTACTTGGCCGCTCTCATATGCTAATGGTAATCGGTTCATTAATCCTCTCAGCAGGGCACATCCATCCTATTAACCTTCTATTCCTCACAGGAGAGCTACAAAGCGGCCTTATTATTCATTCACGAATTTATCCCTCGGAGGGGTGGAGAAGAAAAAAACCCCACCACCCTTCCATCCTTACATGCCACCGGTCACATCTTGATTAGTCAATGGGCAACAAAGCGTGAGGCCGAGAGGTACCCTTTTGCACACTGGCTGCTCGAACAGAGCAGAGTGCCCTCATTCTGTGAGGGGAGACAGGCCAGTTTCTCAGGGCCTTCCGGCAAAGGGTGCAGCCCTGCAACGTCTGGCTCACACAAACTCGTGGCAGGGGCGAGGGGTCTCCGCTAGAGGGAGCCACTGGTGGGCCCTCTCGAGATTCCAGTAGGGTGTGTTTGTTCTACCTCTTTTAATGTTAATGCTGATCTTTGGTAGAGGTGGCAGGAACCCACACTTGCACCCCACCGTGGGTGCACTCGCCGATCAACTGACTGCCGCAAAGCCATTCGTGCCCCTGGGTGCACAAGAGGCGGGGGCGCGGCGGACGGGTGGATTTAAATAACTCGCTCCGTTGTTTTAACCGCCCGTGCCAGGAGATCAAATCGAACTGGCAACCTCCAGATTGCAAGCCCAGAATGCTAATCGGTACACCAGGAATTGTTATGCCAAGCGTTTATATTGATAATATTTGATAATTGTTTTTTTACCCTTCTATCTGGCAACAAAACTGACACCTTTTTTTACAAGGAGTCATGTTTGCATCGAGCACAATACCTGCAGTCATAATGCAAAAAAAAACATAACTCTGATAATGTATGCACTGTCCTTATCAGAGTTATGTTTTTTGTTTGCATTATGACTGCAGGTATTGTGGTCTATGCAAACATGACTCCTTGTAAAAAAAAAGGTGTCAGTTTTGTTGCCAGATAGAAGGGTAAAAAACAATTAACATATTTTTTACTGGCAAATGAGGTTCCAATGGTGTTGATAATATTTGTTATGGAAAATGAAAGCCCTTTGTCAATCCACTGCAAGATGACAAGTCTTCCCATGCAGTGTCAGTCATTGGGGTTTGTGGAACCATACTTCACCCTGCTGGTCATGCAAGTTGAAGTGGGGTGGGGGGCAATGACCAGCTCAGATATCACTCACCACTGATGTTAGCCGTGGCCGGGAATCTAACGGAGCTTCCTGGCTTCATAGCACAGCGTGCGTACCACTGCACCACAGCTCCACCGAAATGTGAATTTGGTGGATCATCACGTGCTGCGGGAAGTGACCCCGGGTGTACGAAAGATATCTTCCCTGAAATTGAGAATTAAATCCTTCGTCAAAAACACCTTTGAATATCTTCCAAGACGCACATTGAAAACCTATCATCCTTGCACACGATTTGGTTTTGGCAGCATCTCAGTAGGGGGTGGGAGGTAAGTACATTTCACATCTTGTATCCCACGCATCTCAACACAGCCCTGAAGGCTCATTATTTATCGCCGTCCCCTTTCGTTGAAGCCGCTGCAATTTAGGGAGGTATCAGTTCCCTCCGCCGTTTGCAATGTGGTAACATTTCACAAAGGCAGTTGCGGCTTGACAAATGCATGTGAAATTGTTTTTTTTAATTCAAATCGTAGCGACTTCCGTTAGCCATACCACATACACACAGAAGTAATTAATTCCTGCAATAGACATGAATTACTCGTGCCTCTTACATTACTCATTTCTGTGATAGGCACGGTAATTAATGTCCATGATAAGACACAGAATGGGGAGGTGCATGTTTGGAATTGCACTGAGAGACAAAAAATGGAACACGGATTTTTTAAACTTATACTTTACACGTTTAAGGAATTATATAAACTATTAAGAAAAGCCAGTTTTAATTTTTTTTTTACTTTTATAACCAGGTTTCTACATTAGTGCAACGAGGCCCCTATCGAAATTGAGCATTTATTGTTCAATAGGTTTTTACCTGAGCCCAGATAAAATCTCACCCTAAGTGGCTTTGGGCAGAATATGTCATTATGAGGGATGATAGCCGACACGAATGACACAGTGGTAGCCAATGGAGGGAGTATCATTCATTCTCTGTGGAGATGGAGTGCTAAATTCAGCTCGTGTTTAGGTTCTGGGTGGATTGTTACGTAACATGACTGAGGGAAATGTATGTATGTATGCCCGTATGTTGAACTTCTTTCACACCGTATGTAGCCAACCGTGCTCATTTGAGGTGCAGGGGAAGACAAGAAACTAAATACAAAAAAGTTCTAAAGAAATTCGTTTTCAGTCTAAATCTAAAAGTGCACAGCTCCAGCGGTTTCCCAATATCGGAAGGAAGCGCATCTGAAAGCGCGCGATGCAGTGGCCGTCTTTGTTCAATGGCTAGCCAACAGCTGCTGGCAAGGATGACCGGAGGTCGCGCGATGGTTAAGGCATTGTGGTTGATTTGTGGCAAGCAAAGATGGCGGCGTCTCATAGAGGCCTCCATCAAGCATTGTGTAGATCACCGTTGGTGGTGATGAATCGATGACGCACAACAGCATTGTCTCCCAACACCAAGCCCACGTCATTCTTTCCGATTTGTTCCATTAAAACCACGGTGCAGTGATAAGCAAAGCACAAGCGTGTGGCATCAACCTTATTGTGGTTGGAATTTGTTGTTCTTGCAGGTGGTTCTCCTAGAGGCCGTAGGGCCCCGTGACGCGGTCACACGGAACGATATCCCGCTGGCCGGACGGGAGGCCAACAAGATCCCGCCGGGTGGGGCACAAGGTCCAGCCGGCCCACCAGGCCCCGTTGGTCCGAGAGGTGAGGGTGAAGACTGTTCTAGATGTGAAGCTTTCGTGACTGCAAGGATTCATATTCTTAGGTTTTTTCAGTAAAGTCACGTGGGTAAAAAAATTTAAATTAATAAAAGTAAAAAGAAATAAAAATCACGACGTTTCGGAGGCAACACAAGCTTCCGTCTTCAGGTGGAACCGTCACAGCACGATAGCTGTATCAAGTGATACAGCTATCGTGATACAGCTATCGTGCTGTGATGGTTCCACCTGAAGACGGAAGCTTGTGTTGCCTCCGAAACGTCGTGTTTTTTTTTTACCTACGTGACTTTACCGAAAAAACCTAAGAATAAGGTGAAGACTGTATTAGCTCAGATTCTTGTCCACTCTTCTTGATAAGCGGGAGAAACGCTCGTAAGATGCCAACGTATGGGACATGCTGAGATGAACTGGATTTTTTGTTTTTGTGCGTTAGCCTGTTCAAGAAATAAGCCACTCTTCCCGAGACTATATGCGAGCACCTTCAAGATAACATGCCGTGGGTATTATTAAGATGATTAGGGAATTGTGACCGTGAACTGATTTGTGGAACTGCTCGTAAAAAAAAGTACGCGATCGAGCGAGTGACTGATGTAAATGTTAATCAAGTTTTGATCAGTGCTGGAAAGGTGAAATTTGGCAGATACAGTTTGTTGTCCTTCCTCCGCACCTCCGATTAGCACGGTTGGCTACGTACGGTGCAGAAGAAGTTCAACATACATACAAGTCGATGCTTATAGCTCGAACAAAAATACCATTTAAAATTAGACCCCCAAATATTGCACCGCGGAGGTTGATTGGTTTTACCCATAGAGGCTGGCTCAGCCTAAAGTACCACATTGCTTTAAGTATCGTGCTAAGAACACATACAATCCCCGCCATCAGCGAATTCACCTTCTGTGCAGTGTGACGATAATGCCGATATAAAAGCAAAGAAAAGCTCATTACCGGTGACTCGTAAATTGTACAGCTACAAGGCCGAAGGTGAGTGGAGCTTGCCGTCGGATAACGACGGAATCTGTGCACGTTGTGTGCGACACACATTACTATTATTATTGTTGTCTGCTTTCGTGTCTTAATGAAAACTGAAAGGAAGCGTGAGTGAGGATGGAGTTAAACCGACTCCGGTTGACCCACAATTTGCAGGTCAGACGCCCCCTTGTTTTTTGATGTGCATTGTCACCGACACGACGCTGGGCCATTCCCACACCACATGTTGTGTGGCTTCTCCTCTCTGTTCAAAGTGCAGTGGAGTGGGGCCCACAGCACACGCATGTTCTCACCTGTGCTCGTGTGCACGTGCACTCTTTGTATACGCGTCATGTGACTGTGCACGTGGTGTCAGCTCGTGTCCACACAAACACACACACGTGCGCGCGCGGGGGAGGGGGGTCAAATTTAACTGGTTGGTCACCACATATGCACAAGTGCTGAGCTTGCACGAATAAGTGACGGGAGGGCGGAGGTAATGAGAAATATTTGCGCTCGTGTGCACAAGTGACCAAGCTAATTAACATTATTTGCTGGCCTACATTAAACAGCAGCAGCAGCTTTATATAATGATGAAGTAACTGAACATGTGGAGCCAAACGTCGGACATCATGCCCAACGATGCGGTCGCACGACGAGAAAACGCATCGCACTACTTTTGTGGCAATGGTTAGGCAATACAGTGGACAAGCACACGGAAAAACAAAATCGAATCACTGGGTATATTCGTCAGTTAGCGCTGCCTTGTAACAGAAACATTCCCAGCAATCTGACGCGCAGAGCAATGATGGCATTCCTTCAGCAGAGAGAGAGTGGGCAGAGATTATTGACTGCCTATGTTATAGTTGGAGGATTGCATTGTCACCCGTGGGCCACTGAGAAAAGTAGGACTTATTTATGTTTTAAAGACAGCTTATGAATGGATTAGGTTTGATTGATATACAGTTTTCCATGAGTAGGTTATAACACAAACCTGCATGAACAGGTGTTTCACCCCTCCCAGCTCTTGAACAAGAGCTTTCACATTTGATTTTTTCCATAAAACAGGTCACCCAATTCGTAGCCGAAAAGGTGTCAAACAGTAAAAAAAAAGAACGTGTGTAGTAATGACTCTTCTTTGGCTCATCATACATGACTGTTCAGTACATTGAAAGAGCAGCGCTGCATTTGTTTAATGATCATGTCTTCGAAGAGTGGTATGCAGAAGAAAAAAAGAACCATGCAAGAGGTATAATTTTAACTTTATTGCTGGTGCGGCAGTCTGGGTTGATGTACAATGCCTGCATTATTATAATAATTATTATACCATTGTGTGCAGGATTGTACTTTAGCATATGGCTGGGTGTCCGGATAACAGTGCTTATTATGAAGACTAAAGAAACATCGTTTATACTCCCTACTGTGACTTACACACAACAAGATGTTTTATATTCATGCAAGCAAAGTGGTGCATGATGTTGAGTGCATTCCTGGAGCTCGGTAGCTCATAGAAGCACTTCCTAGCTTTGTTCTTATACCAACTGAGCGCATGCATGCTTGCTCGGTGTATCCAAACACTGTATTGTAACTTATGGATGCACACTTCACATGCTGCGCCACAATCTCGTGTTGGAAGTGTGATAAATGGCCCTTCCAAAAAAAAAACCCGGCAAATCCAAATTCCTCCAGTACAGACATTTCAGGCAGCATTTTTGAAACAGTTGGAAATGTAGGTGGAGATTTGATTCAGTACTTCAGTGAAAACAGATGGGCAGGCAATGAGATTCAGCACGGGTTCATGTGGTCAATAACTTGCAGTTTACTCTGAAAATACGTTTCAAGCCACACTTTTTCCTATTAAAAATACGTTTCATTATCCTGCTTTCAAAGGACGAGGCCTTATCTTCCACAGCGACGGTACGAGCTGGAGGACACGCGCCGGAGACCAAACTTTTTTCATTGCGTCGCGAGTTGGTTGACGAGAGCCGACTGCAGTTGCACAGATATTTTTTTTTACTTCTGTAGAGGGTTTTGTTGGGAGAAGAAGTTTCTGAAAAGTTTTATTTTCCATAATAGAGATGAATTTTTTTAGGGTTAGATCTCGTAAATATAAGCGTGTTCATCTTCTTGGTTCTTTCGGTAAAGTCACGTAGAAGGGAAGTAATAAAATAATAAAAATAAAACATAATAAAAAAATTATGTTTTATTTTTATTATTTTATTTTTAGTTATATTTTATTTTTATTATTTTATTACTTCCCTTCTACGTGACTTTACCGAAAGAACCAAGAAGATGAATCCCTGCAGTCACGAAAGCTTTAAATCGAAATATAAACGTGTTGTTAAACCCGCAACCACACAGCCAATTAGTAAGGTTTGCCGCGTAAACAAAAATGCAAAATCGTTACTAGTTCAGCACACCGGTGTGTTGGAGAGTAAAAATCCACAACATTAACAATTCGAGTACGACGTAGATATCGAGTGTAATTTACGTGAATGCATTAACCCCCCGCCCTGCCCCTGGTCATCGGACCTTATTGGTTCCCGAGTGACGACATCGCATTCAAGACCGAAACAAGGAGGATTCCTCCACAACCCTGGCCGTCAGCTGATGAGGCTGGTTGTAATTACCGGCAAAACGTCGTACTCGAATTGCATATTTGTGCATTGAATAAGGAGGGTGGTCACAAGCGTTTTTGAATTTTTTTTTTTTAAGAAACAAACTTGGTGCGACGTTCTGACTGGTGCCACATGCCCGAGACATTCTTCAGCGTCGTAACCTTCTATGCGGGCCTCTGAGCTTTCCGAAATGTGTGTTCTCAATTGTGTCACTGGGACAATTCTAGCGACTTTGCACTTGTGCTGAGCGAGGTTGACTAAATGTTGGGCCGAACATTTCGAAGCGGAGTTTCGGCATGGCTAATGTTGGAATAACAACGGGCACGAAGATCACGTGCGCGTTAGGGGTAGAGAGCAGAGGCAAGCGGTTAGCGCACTGCGCTACAAACCCAGCCACCCGAGTTCAATCCCAGGCCACGGCCAACATCAGTGGCGAATATCTTAAGGGGCCATCCATTTAGTACGAACGCAAACAAATCAGTCAAAACTTGACCCCTCCCCCCTCCCTGTATGTACGCGTACTTTTTACACCCCCCCCCCGACCCCCGAATCATATAGAACGGCCGATCAAGGATTAATAATATTAACGTGTTTAAGAAAACAGATAGTCCACCACCGGACTATCTAACTCACTTGAAGGCCAATGTAGACAAATTATTATCGAGGCTCCCCCCCCCCCACGTTTCCTATACGCACGTACATTGTCAGTAGACCCCCCCATACACAAGCGTACGCATTTGGGTTAACCCCCCCTGCCATCTTCTTGCGTACGTACTAAATGGATGGCCCCTACGTACTAAATGGATGGCCCCTAACCGTTCATGAGCTTCTCCCCCCTCCTCCTCGGGTCGAGTCAGCATTAAACGAATACCTGGCGCGGTCATGTAAAACATCAGCACCGGCTAGACAAAGGCTTGGCCCGCGCCCACGCCCGTGCTCGCTAACAGCAACTTAGCCCCCCAACGATCTAATGTGGCTACAGGGGGCATCTTTGTCCGTGTTGGGAGTGTGTATGTGTCTTGTGTGGGCGTGCGTGTAGCTGTGTATTTACGTAGGTTAAGGCAGTGTCCGGTCTGTGCATGCTGGCAGAGGGAGTTGACACCCTGCACTGGAAGCAGCTGTCCGGACGGCTGCTACCAGTTTTCAAAGCGATGGCTGCCTGCCACGTTCAACATTGCCTTTGTTGCAGTCTCATTTTAAAATATTGCCATTAAAGCCAATTTTAGATGGATATCAGCGCGTGTAATTTAACACTCACTTGGCAGCGTGCGCTCAAGGAGAGCTGTTCATTTTTAGTCACACATGATAGTTCAAAAATACAGGCGTGCACTTTTATTTTTTTCACGGAAAGTGTTCAAGTTGGCTGTTTATTATTTGAAAGTCAAATTTCATTGCTTTACTTTGAGTCTTATCCTCCGACCGAATCACCCGGAATGCGCCCGGCATCGTTTTAGATCTCGGAAGCTAAGCAGCGTGGGGCCTGGATAGGGCTCAGACGGATTGGGTGACCACCGTGCATAACAGGTTGTTATAGGCTGCTGCGTGGCTGCGTGGCGGGCATGCTGAAGACGGCGCACGCAAAAATGTGATTCACACATCTATGCTTCTCCCCGCGTTCAGCAACCCCGCACTGACCAAAGGGCTGTACGTGCACATGCGCTATCGTGGTACGCAATTCCCCATTTACGTGGCCTTGTGCAGAGTAATCATACAAGTCACAGACCATTATTTGATAGATAAATTATTTAACATGGTTATTTTTCAAATTTGTCATTGTGGTCTATGACAGTCATACAATGGAATGGGCAATTCTTCTAAGTTATTGCACGGGGGATTTAACATCGGCGAATTGGATGCTTGGGAATGCTCTTGCTATGTTCAAGGGAGGCAAAAATGTTTCCACGCAAACTAACATTACTAGATTATCAAAACCACTCGGCTACCCTAAGTGTTGAAAATAATAACACAAACTATTTTCCGCCCCGTATCAATCCACTGCTAGAGAGGGCTTCCTCATACCACGTCGGTCATGGGGGGTTTTGTTTTACCATACTTCACCACGCAGGTCAGCGGTGGTTGGTGAAGGGTCGCCTAAACACCAGTTCAGATTTCACGTGCCACTGATGTTAGTTTTGAACTTAGGTCACCAGTGTGCTAACCACTGCACCACTGCTCGCAACCCCCCCCCCCCTCCGCTCCGCACACATGGAACGAGAATAGTATTATGAAACAAAAATATTTTCCAACAGTTGACGGCCATTTCATGTTGAAAATGAGAAGTTATCTGGACATCAGAAGTGACAACTTAAAACGATTCCCAGGAAGCTGGGAAGAGTTATTGTGTCCCACAAGTGTACCAAGCAAGTATGAATGACCTTCATTGTGTCCGTTTAAAGTTTTATGCAATTATCTCATTAATGGGGGTTTAATAGGGCTACAATTTACTGTTTGTTTGAACAACTTTATTAAAGTCGAGAAACATGTAAACAATTGGAAGTTGCAAAAAATCTACTTGGCAAAAAAGCATTTAGGCAAGTTTAAACAAAAATGAACATATGG